ACTCCAGTGGGAGTGACACCAACACATCAGGAAACAAGTGATTTCAAGTCCAGTGCAGGGAGGGGCCATCGGCCACCTGAGGGGGAGGCCTGGGCGTCCCAGCACTGACTGTGATGGTTACTGCAGGTGATTTGTTTCTAGAGTAGAAACAGATTAATTCTGTATTTGCTTTCACTCCCCAGACCAGAATCTCTCCCTCTGAGCCGGGGACACCTGAACCAACACATAATAGGCCCCCGAGTGGAGGAAGGGACGGGCCTATGACTGCAGACAGATCTTGGCCAGTCATGGTCTATGTTCCCCTGTAACTCAGTTTCTCCTGAATAACAGGATAAATCCTGAAACAGGATAAATGGTAAATGGTTTCAGGCTTGTCATGTGGCCTGTGAATCTTAAATCTTTCACAGTTACCTGACATAAAGCTTGATATAGAAGTGCTACCCCAGGTAACAGCATCTGTTATCATTTCATCCATAAGAGAGGGCTCGCTGGTTCGATCCTTGGTGGATGAGGAGCTGCCAGGATCATAATCTCCTCTGCCCCTCCCTGGGGACACTGACCTTGCTCTGGGGTCTCCTAACTCCCCTAGGTCAGTTGGCTAATGGCCTTATGACCTTGTCCATCTGGGCTCAATGCACAGTCTCAGATGAAGGACCAGGCCCCTCCCCTGCCCAGATGTGGCTCCTGGGGCTGAACACTGGCTGGTGAACAGCTCAGGAGCTCGGGACTCAGGCACCTGGGAAACTGTTCCTCCCAGTCAGCCCTGCCCAGGAGGCCAAACCCAACCTGAGACAGGCTCCCCAGCATCCCTGGAGTCAGCAGCCCTGGGTCAGGGGTCTGGGGAGGGGCTCCTGGGCTGAGCTTCTCCATCAGGATCCCAGGGCACCACTCAGGCCAGGCCCTGACTGAGCCCTGCAGGGTCTTTCTCAGGGTCATGGTCACAGAACTGGCCCAGGGGCTGGCCTGATTCTGGTCTCCCTCTGCTGAGTGACTCCCATCAGACTGGTACTTCATTCTGGGGTGAATGTCTGCAGGGGCTAGAATCTGGGAAAGGAACTCTGATCTTGTGAAGCTTGTCTCCACTGTGTGTGTCCTGCACTAAATACTGAAACCACAACCTGGGAGGTAATGCAGGGGGCATGGAGGCAGAGTCCAGGCTGTCAATCTGTGTGTGTGAAGTAGAATTCACCCCACCTGACACCCAGAGGTCAGAGAGGAGTCACTCACGGAATACATGGAGCTGTCCAGTTACTTCTTCAGCCTTCAAATCTGTTTTTGTATACTGCAGGGTATAGTATCCTTTGTCTTCCAGGGTGACTCTCTGGACCAGCAGGGATCCATTGGGGTATATTGTCTCTCGACCACTGTGTGCTGGCCCAGTTTCATTTCTCTGAGTGTCTGTTCTATATGATGCAATATGGTTGGGGTCTACTCTTTCTCCTTTGTACCAGGTATAGCGTAGAATATCTTGATTCTGATTGTGGACAAGGAAAAGCACATCCTTCCCTTCTACAACGTTGGGCGGCAGCAATTCAAGAGTGAGTCGGGCAGTGGTGGGCGGGCTCCAGAAGGTTAAGAGTGAGACTAGGAGGAAAGAGAGAAATTGATCAATATTTGGATCTATGTATTGAGATGGAAAGAT